ATTGTTATGACGATATGATGTGCTGGAAAAGGTTTTTTGAAAATTTCATACAATGCTCTTGCCTCTTAGTTGTTATTTGTAGTAGTATTATGCAGTTTTAAAATATACCAATCACAGTTCAGCTAGTTAATAATGGGGGTTACAGTGGACATTGCTACAGAGTATTGAAGAAATTGAACATTTTAACAACTGGCGGCATCTGGGAGTATCTGATCACGCTCTGCATACGTTCTGTGATCGCAGTTGTTAATATTCGGTAACTTCCAGTTGATCGCGGTTCTTATTAGTCAGTCAAGTTGTCAATATGAACGCTTTGCTCACGTTGCGGATACCACGAGATTAGTCCTCCTGTAACGACAAACCTAAGCCAAATGGAAATGAGATACATTGGTCGAAATAAATATGTTTTCTATTTTCAATGCTCAGTATGTATCAAAATATGCATAACTCTGAAAACCACCAGTACCAAGTGCCTATGTATATAAGTGTATATAGCTGGACCAAGTTCGTAGCATGTGTCATAGAAAAGGAATTTTCTCATTAGACCTAATATTAATTAATACCAATAAAGAATCATTAACAAATAAGTAAACATATAGTCACAGTTTAACGTTCCACACTATCACCTATAGATATATTTAAAGTGTAGTAAGAAGTTAATCTGGTAATTGTTTTGAGTTGCATCCCCTGCATCTAATTAATTCATTCAAATATTTCAGCAACCACTTCTCCAGTGCTACAAAACAAGTCAACCAATTTCATTACAATGTAGCCTAGATACTGTTCGACCACAATGTTTACAGAATCACATTTTGCCAATCATTTTTGTTAGAAATCTAAATATCAACGCAATTCCTACTGAGAATGTTAGACTGTCTCTGAGTTGATTGAAATTCCAAATATTTGGAAATATGATTTTACATAAGATAATTTTTTCAGTGTGAAAAGTGGCTTATATCTCAGATTTTGAATGTAAAATCTAAATTCTGATATGTCCGTATATGTTTTTGATGACTTTTTTTTTGCTGAGCGTTCAGACGGATATAAAAGTTAAGCCAGCTTCAACGCTTCCTCGAACGTTATCGGAAAGTTCAGAGGTCATAATACCATTACGCATGCGCATTATGACATAGATGTCGGTAATTTATTTAGACGCATGCGCATGCACGGAATGACATATCCGGCTTAATGTTGGCTAATACCGCTGAGACGACAAAACTAAGCTGGCTTAACTATTCAAGCCAGGTTTTAATAGTACGTCCAGTCGACAGCTTAACTTCAAACCGTTCTTAGAGCCCATTTTTTAGACGTCTGAACGCGATCGGTTGAAATTAAGCTGCCTTAACTTGCACCTACTTTGGAGATGGCTCGAAACCTGTTTTGGAATGTCAAGGCAGCTTAGCTTGCCTGTCTGAATGCAACTGGCTAACAACAAGCCGGATATAGATGCCCCCGCGCGTGCGCATTACTCTCAACAATTTCCCGCCATTATCATTTATACATAATACGCATGCGTAACGGCATTATGACCTCTGAACTTTCCGAGGAATTCCAAGTCAATTAAAAAAAGGTATTTATGGAGATGATAAAGACGAACGCGCATGCGCAGACATGTCATATACCCAATAATGTTCAGACGAAAAAACGAAGCTGTCTTAACTACTCAAGTCAGGTTTTAAGCCACCTCCGACGTAGGTACAATTTAAGGCAGCTTAAGTTTAACCTGTCACCTGGAGTTGATAGTTCAGCTGCTTTAACTTTAGCCGTCTGAACGCACTATAACTCTTCAGATGACAGACCGAAATTCTTGTAACTTTTAATTGGTCGAGAATTTATTTCTCAAACAATTACATGTAGATTCATCGAAACAAAATATTAACAGAAAATTCTCGAAAAGACATACCTTTATTTGTATTAATGGTGTCACAAAGGTTGTAGCCCGTACTACAAGGGTCGAGGGTCAATAATGTATATACTTTATAATATATAATATAGATAGATAGATAGATAGATATAGATATTTATTGTATTGTTCGCCCTTTTTGGGCAGCATACATCATGATACAAGATAATACACTAAAGAAGATCATAAAAGTGCGCGGTAGTCAAGGTTAATTGGAAGTGATCGAGAAATATCTGGTATGTTTATCGTTCTTTATCGACCATTACACAGAGATTTTCAATCAGTTATCGTGACCAAGTTTAGTCAGCAGAATTCAATGTACGTGCAACGTGAAAGCTTCAGCATGGCGGCACGCTGTCTTCAACTCCTATTCTGGAAAAATAGGGTGGATCATCTACAGGGTAGACCGCTTGGTAATGTTGTGGGTGGAACATGTATGCCTCACAGATGTTACATTTCGAGAGTGCATTGATCGTAACATAAAAGATACTATATAAAAATCATGTATTATGAAAAGGTAACATTTCTCCCCTGACTCTGCATTACCTTTGTTTCCGCTCCCGGTAGCTCTGTAGGAGGTCACTAGAGACGCCCCATACACGTTAAAATGAGCAAGTACGTTGACTACAAGATAGTTTGACGTTAAAAGATAACAGAAATGATATGTTCAGCACCGTTTGTTCTTCCATAATAAATAAATATCAGAATTTGGCAGTACGACGAAATCATATGGGACAGTTACAGAAATATAGTATTTATCTCAAATTGTTGTATTAACTTATAAAGTCTTTTATCGATATCAGCAATTTATTTGAATTAAGAAGACCTTTTTTCTTACTTGACCTATTTAAAATCTTCTGAAAGAACTGGAATACAGAATGAATTACCAAATGCTAATATGATTTGAAAGATGAGTTAATAAAGTTAAATATTCAAAAAGGGGATTACACTCGCCTCGGGTAGTATTCGGCATTTTTTGTGTTAAGGCAATAAGAACTCTTTCAGCGAATGGACAAAATCTGACATTTATTAAGTAATTTCTTTGAGGTTTTTTTTTATTATTATTATTTCAGTTTCTTCTTCACACTTCAGTCCAAATTGTTCTATATTTTTCTTGGAAATCCTTTAAAATAATTAAATATAAATCAATCATCGTAGCTGGAGATTTGAAATCTTGGCACTTGAAAGGTTTAAAATATTTCGACCCAATATTAGATAATATTGGATCAAAGAAAATTACCCTTGCCAAAAGCACCACAATGTTCCCTCAGATAATAGGTAATGTATATGGAAATTAGGAATCATTTTTACAAAATTATAGTCCCGGAAAATCGAAAATTGTTATCTAGATACAGTCGAGTAAGACAATTGGTTGCTATGCACGATATTTCCTGTCTTTTTATAGTTGTCAAGTATACGGTATATTTATAATAATGCTGTAATGCTTATATTGTTGATTATCAAATCATGTCAATGAACTGTAATCTCTGCTAACAATGACTGAACATCTTTAATCTAGTGTCGTCTACAATCTTTTCAATCCATCTTCATATGGAGGACATAAAAAAGTGAAAAACAGCAAGAAACAGAATTAATTTTGAATGTCAAATGATCCTGTTTTCTCAACATATTATTTAAACTAGCTTATAGTTTTGCATGATGTAGTATATAAGCACTGGTGATTAAGCTATGAATAAATATTAAAGCATTTTATGTTTAAAATGCTCTTGAGACTTCGCCTCGCATGTCTCATATCATTAACTTTTACCACATTTGAAACCGTGGAGTCAATGACTTCTTCATTTTAACAGCAACTATATATTTCATTGGTGCTGAGGATTCAAATGCAAATAAAATTACTAAGCAATACGGACTTTTTACATATCAACATCGGATATCAGCAACAAGGTTTTGATGTACATTTACCGTAAACATCACATTTTGCACAAATAGACACGCCAAGCTTACTTTTCTGTTTTTTTTTTAAACAATATGTATTTAAAATTACAGATTAAACGTACATACATACAAGCTATGGTTTCAGAAACAAGCCGAGTTTGGTAACGTTACAAAGTTATACAACACGTAGTCGATTGATAGCCTTGACATAAATAAGAAAAGATTCAATTTTTTGGATTCCATCATGACAAATATATTGGCCTACAGGTTATAAATGCCTGTGTTGAATAGTTCAGACGGTTATTTAGAAATTGATTTTTGCCTCTTCAATCATAATTCCTGACAGCCTATTTTAAACTGATATTATTTTAGAAATTGGATTAATTTCAAACAGTCTCTCAACACAACTATGATCTATGAAAGGGAACAAAATAGATGTTTTATCAATATTAAAAGACTGATAAAAGAAAACATAATATTAGTAGAATATCAAGACACACATTATTATGTCACATCAAATAAATTCTTACCATAAAAATATTAATTTCAAAATTTATTGTTTCAATTAAGGATTCAATTATGCGTATGATCTTGCTCTTCGGTTCTTACTCATAAATGTGGCAGATCTGTTTTGGGTTGCAAAATTGATCCACAAAATATTTGAAGAAAGTTCTCTAGAATTTGTGCAATCCTTGATTTGCAGCGCATATCCTGTTAACCAGAAGTCACAATCATGTATCGATATCAAAACCTTTGATGTTTTCCACACATATGTCCACAATTTTTCCAGAAATCCTCACCCATGGTGTGGCATTGCTCTAGTTGAACATAACATTATAAAGTAAAGGAATATCTTGCATTGTCTTTGAATAGATACGGTGTTTTAGCAATTAATTTTAATTTTAAGATAAAATCCATGTATGAATGTATGGTATCATCTAACAGGAAAACTCTATTCAATCTGATGGCTTCTTACATGTTAAGAATTAGATTTGTATCTTTTCCATCTAATAATGATCACGTATACTATTCTTTTCTTCCAATTAACCTGGTTTTATTCAGACATAATTCTGTTTACAAAATGGTAGAGTTTTACTAGACAGTCGTTTTTTCTCTACCAATTTATTCCTATTAAGCATTGTAATTCTCTCTTTTTTCAGACGTTGTAAATGAAAGTTCGCCATATCGCCAGTCAGCAGAACACGTTCTAATGAAGCATCTCATTCGTAATTATGAAAAATCTGTGAGACCAGTTTTTGATGCTTCGAAATCAGTCAACGTTGATTTAGGGTTAACTTTGACTCAAATATTAGACTTGGTAAGCTCTCTTGATTATTTTACTATTGATTAACCATTTCTAAAAACTATACCAGCCATTTGTGTCTATGAATCATTATTTATTATATTTACGTCTATGGGTGCAACTGGAAATTTTAGACAACCGTAGTTTTTGTAGGGATAACCGTTGAACCCTTCGTACCAACAAACATAGTCTTTATATTCTATGAACATATTTACAAAATGGATCTGTACATCCCAATTCAATTCACTTAGTCGATATGTGTACCTTAGATACAAACACTGGTTCATATATAACTGTTTTGTCTTTAACTATTCTATGAGATTTGCTTCATTATTACCTTAGCTGAAATCTATAAGAATCTTTTCTCACATGCGTTTTTTTTTGTTCATCTGAGGATAAACACGACGTCGCAGTGACACACTTCAAGAAAGAGGTTGAGTAAAAGCAAAAAAACTAGTTGATATCCTTCACAAATAATTATAAAATGAATATTTTTTGATAGACAAATCTAGATGTGTTTTGACATTAAATTGCCTCCTGGTTGTATTTCAAATCTTTTACTGATATTGGTTAATAATCTGTATTTTGTAGGATGAAAAGAATCAGGTTTTAACTACCAATGTATGGCTAGAAGCAGTAAGTACATAACAATTTATACAATTATCCAACCAAAACATTTCAGTTCTATATCAAATGACAAATCAATAGAGATATAATGAATATGGTCTCTTAAAACGTTTATAGATAAAAGGGAAATTACACTAAGTTGATGTATGTGTATCGTAAGATGGAAAATTTAACGGTTCTTTGACATACATATCGTAGATGCCAATGCTGCCTTTGACCATTTATTATTTCACACTCACAGTAGGCCTCAGCATCGATTATTTTTCATGGGACTTGAACATTGATTATTTTCCATTTGAGGATAAACATTGATATTTTCCATTGATCATCAACATTGATTATTTTTCATCTATCATAATCATGGGATTTTATCCATTGAAAGCGTTTGCGATGAACAAAAATATTGATTACAAGTTAGACATCTTTAAATATTCCATAAAATACAAAATAGTTTGCCTTAGAAATTAATACTATATTTTATGATATATACGCTGACCAGACAACATTTAGCATAAACAATCATCTTTTCATTGAGGATAAACATTGATATTTTCCATTGATCATCAACATTGATTATTTTTCATTTATCATAATCATGGGATTTTATCCATTGAAAGCGTTTGCGATGAACAAAAATATTGATTACAAGTTAGACATCTTTAAATATTCCATAAAATACAAAATAGTTTGCCTTAGAAATTAATACTATATTTTATGATATATACGCTGACCAGACAACGTTTAAAATGTACTTTATTAATTTAAAGATGTACTGCAATAATTAAAGATAGCCTGCCAGACAAAGTAACATACGCCCACTGGCAGCTGGCAGGAATGAAAATAGAGTCTTTATGACTACGAAATACGGATTTTTCTCATCTTAAATATCTTAATAATACATTTGTAGTTTGAATTTTTTGATATACATATTTGCTGTCAGTTATATTCTCTTAGTTTGTCCACCATATTTTTTTAAAATCAATAACCCAAAAATATCAAGTTATCAAATCACTCTTCCCTCATGTCTGATTTAATTAAAATCGGATAAAAACAAACAAATTTTGACGCGTTTTTTCCAGAGAGAAGGGCAAATTAGGTTCATGCTCCTCTTGACTTAATCAAAATGTGTTGAAATAAGCTTTTAAGCATGAGAGAAGCCTGGATTGATGAGATATTGAATGAGCTTAGCATGCTGGTACTTTCGTCTAATATTATTCACAGAAGGTCTCGTATGGATACATTCGTACATATTGTGAGATGTTCTTGTGGTGTTCATAAGTATCGTACAAAATAAAATTGTTTTATCAAATCATCGTATAGTTTATTCTGTGCTATTTTAAACGGAAATCTCACATTAAAGCTTTCATCATACAATACGTATTCTTGTCATGACTGCTTTAGTTGATATTTTTAAATCCACATGACTCTACTCATGCATTTATTTCTTAAATAAAAGTCAATATTATTACTTTTTAAACGCATAATAAAAACATTACCTCGGGTGATATTCAAAGTTGTAGCAGAAGGTACAAGTGATCAAATAATTGAGGTCAAATATATGAGTTTCATTACACAACGAGCCACAGTAGGAGAGTGGCAGACTGTTACGAGCAAAGCAAAGAAAAAGCTTTTACACATCTATTATAGTCCATTTAGAGGAGTCTAATGTCTGCTGGATCATCGATTCTAGTTTACAACAACCTATATTTAGAGTTGAAATAACTCATAATATAACTTTATTTAATTCATAGTCATAACATTTCGTCATATTCTAGTGAGTTTCATAACGAAAGAACGAAAACGATGAGAATATTATATTATATATTAATCAAATGACTAACAAATGAGACCAAAATGAGTCATGTTGGAGTATTAAGTATACATACAATTGGCGTTAGCAATGTTAGGTTTCAACAATCACTTCACTATATATATGTTTGGATAAGGTTGTTACTTGCTGCCTATAGTTTGAATGGTCAATGCTTTTAAAATCAGTACTGATATATTTCAGAGGGTAAAAGTGTAAAGAGTTAAATAGATGGTAATAAGTAATGGTAAGAAGTGTTATGAGTAGAGATATGTATTATCCACGGTTCAAGCAAGGTTAATTGAACTCGATACAACCTTATCGTGATAAGAGCAAATGTTAGTATTAACCGTCAGGCAATTTGCATTATGAAGCGATTGATGAAATCTTCTAGTGACCGAGATGCTATCAGTTTCCACTCCTGGTTACAAAGGGTTAATAAAGTCGAAACTATCTGTAACATTTATTGCGACCATTAACTCGTAAGCTTCCAAAAAAGTTAAGATGATTTGTCTAAAATATACCCTTTAAACTGTTTTCAAATAAGCTTTTTAAAGATTGCATATGAAATGACTTGATATCTTATAAAACATGTTAAGAATTATAGAAATTGTTTGAAATTTGTTAAAGATGTGATTTCTATAATCTACTAATATCAGTCTGTAATGAATGTAAATTGTTGTGGTTTGATAAAAGACCCTAATCTATCTTACTTTATATTCACATGATATTCTACACCGCATCTATAATTTCCGTTTTCCTTTCACTAGCGGGCCTATTCATACGGAAAATAGAGATTAAAGGCTTTGCCTAGTGTACTTTGGCATTTTACATCTTGAAGTAATTGACTATGGTTTGATTTTCCTCAATAAGAAAATCAGTCGGATTGTAATATGTGCTACAATTATACCATATAGTCATAATGTCTAATCAATGCACAGAGTTATTAAATTTGGTGATAAATGGATGAATAATTGTGATAATGATGTTGAAAATGATGATGGTGATGATGATGATAGTGATAACGACAATAATGATGATAATAATATATTTTATTTGAGAATGTTATGGAATGCAGATTTATAATTACCAATATAGAAAAGAAGATATCATTTAAACTTATGTTTCTTTTCTCGTTATTTTCGGCCAGGAATACAGGAAAGTAATGAAAAAGTTGGTTTTTTTTTTTTTTAAAGTTTTTTTGGAACTTGGTGGTTTTCTCTGAAATGACGCTTTGATTTCTGCTCAAACATGTGGAAACAGTTTCAATTTAATGGGGCATTCCGCTTTTCATTATCAAAAGCGTCGTAAAATTATAGCTGAAGATATTTCTTCAGTATGCTATTAATATCTATGTATCTACTTGATCAAACTGAATTTGTTTTAATAGGGTGAATTAAAAACGGAGAGTTCTAATTTTTAATTAAGCAGTTTGACCTTAATTGCTGGATATCATTAGTTGAAGCCTTTAGAATACTTAGGAGACATATTTAGGCGTTTATTTTATTTATCTGTAGGATACAGTAGTTTTCTAACAGTTTCCAAAAATCATAACTTTTTTTCAGTTTAATCTTTCAAATACGTTTTGGGATACATTTCTCTATATTTTGGCGTATAGCTTTTACAAATTTGTTTTCGACCTACAAAAAAATCGGAAATCCCCTTTTAAGTAATCATTATTAAAGGTTTTGGCGCGTTAATCGATGAAAAAAAATGATTGAACGCTGTGGCTTCAAGGGAGCCACACGGTATTCTTTCACTATGTAAATTGTTAAAAATTTGAAAGTGAAAGGAAAATTTGAAAGTGAATGGCCAAAGCCAGGCAAGCCTGAATTTTTTATTTTTAAATTTTGATCTTTTGCTACATGTTGATTGATATTTTGATTGCAACTAAAATCAGTTTTCTGGCGCTATATGCTTGTAAACGTTAAATTTCAACTTCCGGAATTTTATAGATATTTAATAAATTATTTTTGCAACATGTTAGAATTGTTGATTTAGAAGATTTGAAATGACAAAATTTGTCCCGGAAGTATTAGATCAGTCGCCGTCTTGAAATGACAAAATTCTCTAAAAGAGTACTTTTTGGGATCAGGGTTTAATCGGATTTGCATTATTTAAGGGTTTACATTAACAGTGAACGATTCCTCACAATCGTGTAGGAGCAGATTTTTAAATTTCGAATTTGCTTTTTAGTTATTTCCGGTTGATGTTTTTCAATATTGGCCAAAAATATCAAGGCTCATATCTCGTGACCTCGACCTTTGGTGACCTTGTGACCAGAACAAAAGTTGTTGCTTTAGACGAGATCTATCCACAGATGTCTTCATTTTTCTTATGCAATGTTAACTTCCGGTTTTACAGCCTTTAGAAATTACGATTTTTAACTTTGAAAAGCTCTGTTACGTGACTTAATTAACATACGACAAAATGTCTCATATATTCTTTTTGGTGATATATCACACTTGATATTTTGATCAAAATTGCGCTTTTTAAAAATTGAAACTTTTGTACTCACTTCTATAGTAGGCTAACCGTGCGTAAATTAACGGTGTCTTTAATCCACCAACAGTAACCGTTGCCTTAAAAAACGTATAACTACGAATATCTGATGGTTGTAAAAACTTGAAATTTTGAATATTATTTAACAATGTACAAACTATTAGAGGCAATACAAAATTGTTTAAATGGGCGTGTCAAATCCGGGTTACTTTTACCTTTAACTTAGATATTTGAAATTGTTATAACTCGCAAAGTTTGAATATATCAACATCAAAATTTTGCATATAAATAAATCACTATTTGGGACAATAAGTGATCAAGTAACATTTGTTTCGGCATTTTACTCTAAAAAAGGAAATAGGTTCTACAATTTATAAAATTTTGATATTTAAACCATTTTTAGATATTTCCGTTTGATGTTTTTCAATATCGACCAAAACTTTCATGGCTCGTGACCATGAACTTTGGTGACCTTGTCACCAGACCAAAAGTTGTTGCTCTTGGCGAGAAATACCATCATTTGTCTTGAGCAAATGGCAAGAGCCATTTGAAAATCGCGTTTTTTAACTTTTAAGAGCTCTGTCACGTGACCTAATTAATATACGTAAAAATTTCTTATATATTCTTAAAGTTCCCGATCTCTTCTTTTTTGTGATATATACCAATGGGTATTTTGATCAAAATTGCGCTTTTTAGAATTGGAAACTTTTGTACTGACTTCTTTAGTAACTGTGCGTAAATTCACGGTGTCTATATTCAACGGGCATTCACGGTTGCCTTAAAAACTTTTAACTACGAATATCTCATGATCTAATAATTGTAAACAATTGGCAAATCCGGGTTACTTTTACCTTTACCTTAAATATTTAAAATTGTTATAACTTGCAAACTTTACATTTGTCACCATCGAAATTTTACATAAAAATGAATCACTATTTGGGGTAATAAGTGATATAGAAACATTTGTTTGGGCCTTTCACTTTAAAAAGGTAATGGATTGTACAATTTATAGAATTTTGATATTTTGCAAGGTCAAAGGCCATTGATCTATGATGTCCATTCAAACTTTTATCTTTGATGTCCGATATATACTTCCGGTTTTGCAGACGTCCGAAAACAGCAATTTTTGAAACTTCAAAGGCTCATATTACTTTTATTTGACCTCTGTTGACCTTTTGACCAGAACAAAAGTTATTGTGCTCGACCAGATATATTTAAATATATCTTCATTTGTATTGTGCGGTGTTTATTATCAGTTATTATAAAAATCAACTTTTTACTACCGAGTGTTAACACTTTTGACTACCCAATGCTATCAACTCAATGCGTCTTTTCACTACCGAACGTTGGGTGGTTTATCGAATTTTTACTATCTAGTTTTGTTTTAGTTTGCCATACTATCGCAACAAGACGAACTGTTAACTTCTGCAAATTGATAATGAAATTGCATTATGGACAAATTAACCTGTGCCATATTTGATAAACATATAATCAATGAGCTGTTATATTATCTTTAACTTTATCAATTTGCTATTGGATATTTTCCCAAAAATAGTTTTGAAAGGAAATTTGATATTCCATGTAACACGACAATTTTATTGCTATCACGACAAATACCAACAAACTCGAATCAATCTTGCCAGATGAAAATTGAACTATATGTATTAATATTGTATATCCACTCCTCAAATGGGTACCATTATTGAACAATGGCGCTACAGTCCCCATTCTTGCATGATTTACATAGTACCACGACGCCTTTTTTACATAAGATTAAAATGACTAAATAGAGTCGATTTTATGAAATGTACTCAATATTGATGCTAAAGGTTCAATTTTTCTATTACCCCAAGACAAATCTATCTTCATGAAAGATCTGAAAATGCCAACAAAAAAAAAACTTTATGATATATTACCCCATGTATCTTTTGAGTGAGTGATATTACGAAAAGCCACTTGAAATGGATATTGGTTTTGGGATGTTTAAAAAGATATAAATCTTCAGCTGGTATACTATTGAGATTAAATATATTAGAATATTTGTACCGTGATAAATCGTTTTCTTTATAGTTTTCTATTTTAATCAAATCAATGCAATAAAAGCCCATATTGTAAGGTGAAGATTTATGATTTAGTTCACATGCATTTTTCATGACGTAAACAATCTGCTTTTTTCATAATAGTAACCATTCACTTGAGGTTATTTATAGGATTGTTCCGATTATTTCAACGATTTTTGGTGTTTGACGATCACTACGATTTGGAAGCACGATACTTTGCGCTATATGAGATGATTCAGATCGAACATCGATCCTATTCATCGTAAAAAAAAATTGCAAGATTTCACAATTGACTTCAAGATCTGACTAGATCTGAAATTGTCACAACAATTACAACCACGATTATAAAAGTTCGAGAAACAAGTCCATTTGAAACAGGTTCCAGTTTTAGCTCCAATAGTGACCACCCGTTGATCATGATTTTGAATGACAACTCGACTAAAATTACTACATATAGTAGGCCTAGTAAAGGTTCTTGATGAACGTATCAGATAATACGAATTCGGGTGTCAGATCGAGACCCAATCCTGGACTAAATCGACACATTCCTTTCGGAACGTCTGTGAACGTAACGTAATATCAGATTATCATATATTTACAAATCAGGAACAGATGGAATACGAATGGAACAAATCATATTAGAACTTATCGACTCGTATCACAAACTATTTCAGATAAATTCCACGATAAGCTATACGAATTGTCAATCGTGGAGTTCGAAAGACGAAGAAAGGAAGTACTGCAGTTTTTGGCTAATAAAGACGGGTAAAGATACAATTAACTTTGAAAGTAATGAAAATTAGTTGAATAATGGCGGTTTGAAAGATTCTCGTTGGTTAAGTTGAATTTGGCAATATACCATTTAATTAATCTTTAATACATGTATATGGCTTAATATTGCACTTACCAGAGTTGGTTAAATAGTTTCAGTTCATAAAAGGTAATATAAACGGACACAGAAAACTTGATTAGATACTATAAATGAATGACCTAAAAGTTAATTTGTTTTCGATCGTTCTTCTTTATTTACAAGATGTAATTGAAATGATGTCATTTGAACGTGACGACGATTTGATTTCTTTTCAGTAGCTTCACTATCACTTACGGTTATTGACAAGTGAACGAATAAAATCAGATCATTATATTATAGGCTACGCTAATAGTTGGTCTTGTTTACTTCTAAATGAAACATAACTTTTATTTTCAAATCTTTCCAATAAATTTCTTTCTTCACTAACGAGTGATTAATTTGAAGCTGTTTCTAATATCAATTGTCAGAAAGGATATATTATTTCTAATGTATACTCTGTAGGTTTAAATTGTAGTTAACTTTCCTTTGTTTGTGTTATCTGTAAGTTTGATCAACATGAGATACATACTGCTTTCTGTTTTCCATAATTCCCGACAGACTATTTTACTCTGCAGTTTGCAGAATTCTTTTGGGAGATAAAAAAATGAATGAATGAATGAATGAATGAATGAATGAATGAATGAATGAAGCCTGTTTAGTCATCTTTAACACTTTGAAAGATACTTTACTGAAAGTTATACAATTTTATTGTGGATGTAAAAAGTTTTGGGAGTTTGTTCGTTTTTCTTATGCGCTCTTATCTCTCTGTGCATTGGCATGTTTAACTGTCCTATTCTTATTATAGGAATGGAAGAATGACGAAAGATAAATTATGACATGTGTAATTAATGTGTCCTGTTTTATATTATAGGAATGGTATGATGAAAGATATTACATGTGTAATTAATGTGTCCTGTTTTATATTATAGGAATGGTATTATGAAAGATATGACATGTTTAACTAATGTGTCCTATTTTATATTATAGGAATGGTATTATGAAGATATGACATGTGTAACTAATGTGTCCTGTGTAATATTATAGTAAGGGTATTATGAAAGATATGACGTGTTATTAATGTGTCCTATTTTACTTTATAGGTGTGACATGATGAAAGATATGACAATTTAATTAATGTGTCCTGTTTTACATTATAGGAATGGTATGATGAAAGATTGGTATGGAACGCTAGTGATTTTGAGGATATAATATCTATAAGAATACCATGCGATACAATATGGCTGCCAGATATTGTTTTATATAACAGGTTTGTCGATATATTTCAACATTGAAGAGATTATGAAAAATGGTTTGTTGCGGAAACATCTTGTTTTTTATGGACGTTATTGATAAGGATTTTGGTAACTTTCTTTAACACTGCAGATGAGGATGGGCGTGGGATACAATAAGTTCGAGAGTTTAGCGTTCTATAATCAACATGTTTTTTCTGAAAAAATTTTCTCAGACACTCTCACTTGGGTTTCTATTCCTAGTGTGTGTAGGCTGTGTAATTTCTGATCTTCAAATGTGTGAAATGGTTGTATTTTTCAGCGTAGATGATTATACATCGGGTTACATGCAGAGTTTAGCTATGGTGTACAATAACAGCAGAGTGTTTTGGGGTCCCGTTATTAGATTTAGAAGTTCCTGTAAAATAGACATCACATTTTTTCCTTTTGATAACCAAATTTGTAAATTGAAACTTGGATCTTGGGCTTACAATGGGTGGCAGGTTGATGTGTGGAACAGATCAAATTCGATGGATTTATCTAATTTTGTTGATAACGGTGAATGGGAGCTGTTAGGGTTAGCAGTAGAAAGAAATGTTGTAACCTACAATTGCTGTAACGAACCTTTTCCAGATGTTACGTTCTATATCTATCTAAGACGACGTATTAAGTATTATTTTATGAACATTATTATTCCATGTATCATTCTATCATTCCTGTGTTTAGCAGGATTTCTGCTACCGCCTGAGAGTGGTGAGAAAATCACACTGGGTCTCTCCGTATTACTGACTATAACTGTATTTATGCTAATGGTAGCTGATAAAATGCCACAAACATCAGAGTCTATCTCAGTTATCAGTAAGTTACTTTTTATGTAGGCATAATGCGTTTTTTTTTTCACTTTATAGTTTGCGTTAAAATCTCCATTTCGGTCTCAAGAAACACTGACACAAGTTTATCCCATTTTACAAATGACATAGCAAGTACAGCTTGGTCATTGAACAAAATAGTAGAATAGACAGCCATTTTTGTTAAGATTTTTAAAAAAATAAAATGAATGGAGTTTTACGTCCTACTTTTCTGCACCATGTGGGCTAATGAAGACGGGCAACGCCATGTAGGGTACAATGAGGGAAAATTTGGCAGGACAGCGGCATTAGCCTGCTCTTTTTCGATTTCCAACTGTCGAGGGATCTTTAACGTGCACAGCCTGTAGCACACGGGGCCTCGGTTTATTGTCCCATCCGAACGACTAGACGCTTTTTACATGTCAGCCCCTCTTACCTGCATCACTGACAGGGGGTTAATATTCAGATGTCGCTTTGTTATATGATCGAATATGTCAGAAAGAATATTCCCCCTAACAAAACGACCACCAGGTTAGAAAACAACAGTCAAAGTCAATGTACTCCATTCTTGCTGCGTCGTTAATCAATGAGATCGTGATGTAAGATCGGACATGTTAAATTGCTAACTTTTTGTATTATAGGTATTTATCTGATGGTTGTATTAACGACGAGTTGTTTATCAGTGCTTTCTTCAGTATTTATTCTGGGTATTCATCATCAGAGAGGCAAACCGCACAAAGTTCCCACATGGCTGAAAATGTTCGTTTTCCGATTTTTATCACCCCTACTGTGCATTAAACAACGGCGTCACGAAGAATCTAAACGGAGACAAAATTCCAAAGATTTTTTAGTGTCCAGGAAAGGTAAAGTGGCAACAGAAGAATTGGAAGTAATAAAACTAGATCGGCGGAAAATTGAAGTCGAGATAATCGACACATCAGGTATGGATTTAAGGGGAGACAACCACAACATCAGACAAGACAACAATTGTCGTGAAGGACCGTGTTCAGAATGTATTCAAAATCAAAACACATATAATACATTAATAAAACAATTATTAAATTTAATACAAAGGAAACAAGTGGATGAAATGAAAGATGGAGAAGTGTTAAGAGAGTGGCGGGATGTGGCGTATGTTTTAGATCGTCTGTTGTTTATTTTGTTTTTACTGACCACTGTTATTTCTACTGTATGTATTTTAGAAATGAGGCCAGATTCATTTCAACCTATATCCAATCTCACTATGATCTTACCGCAGGTTGGAATGAAATAAACAGTTACTCATGTAGATAATAAAAAACACGAAGCAAAGGCACTGATAATCTTAGTTCTTATTAAAACACACACTGTTAATTTTTGTAGTACGGTAAACAAAATATTCCAAATGTGAAGAGATAGTGTGGTTAGATAATACTCTTTAAACATTTATACATGCCATTGGTATGTAAAATCAACATCTAGAATATTATAGTTTTACTTGTGGCTACTTGTATGGGCTGGATACTATGAATTTTATTCTATCGTTTAGATACCTGCTCATCTTGATAGACGTTTTAATTATACTGGTCTAAAGCGAAAAGCGGCCAAACTAAAATTGACTTATCTGCCTAAAACTGACCGATCATATCACCCTACTGACTACGTGTTAGTAATGTATTCAACTCTCCTTTCTCAATAAGGCATGTCATTTGAAAATGTATAGGCCCGATCAAAATTGGTCGTATAGGACCACGTTTCACCTTGTTCCATTGTAGTATTGTTTACACGAATATATAAGGTGTTTCTTTTAAAACTTTTCACTTGATAAGTTATAATGTGCATCAAAACTCGTCCTCTGTCACCTTTCTACACAAAATTTAAACAGGGATGTTTATAATCACCCAAGGATGAACTCTATTGAAAATCAGATGAATCGGAAAATATTTACTATGAGTTATTGCCCTTGTTCTTGAATTGTTTGTGGACACGATAGAGAGCTGGTTTCTTGATGGATTTTGACGAAATTTGGAGTGAGTGTTTGTAATCACCCAAGGCGGAATCCTATTGAAAATCAGACGTATCGAAAAATATTTACTATGAGTTATTGCCCTTGTTCTTGAATTGTTTGTGGACACGATAGAGAGCTGGTTTCTTGATGGATTTTGACGAAACTTGGTGTGAGTGTTTGTAATCCCCCAAGGATAAACCCTATATAGCCTGTCTGTCTGTCTGTCCGTAAATATATAACTGTCTTTTACCACTTGCTGTCACTTAAAAGATTCAATTCTATATGGATTAAATGAAACTTGACATGTTAAATTAATCCCACTTGAATAAAAAAGCTGTAAACAAAACCCATGAAATATGAAAATTTCACTCTCAGAAACATTCATTTACTGATAACTCTTGTCAACCTCTGGGACAAATTAGCTGCCATTACAAATGTGGGCGTATTACGTATCGCTATTTTATTATAATTCAGTGCATAAATTGATGTAAACATACATTTATAATTCAACAACATGTATATATTACAAATAAAGTCCTTTTTTCTGTCACTTGATCCTGGAGATTCCCATTTTCGTCCCCATGCTCTTAATTTGTCTTGTCCTATAAAACATAAACAGATAAAAATTATATATTAGCCCTGATTATTTCAATGAAATTCAATTTGAATATGATTTGCAAATACAAATTGGATATGAAATTTTTTTAAATATTGCAATGGAAATGGATTACAAGCCCTTAAATTGAATTGAAGCTTCACTAAAAAGGTCCCCTCGTGGGGAAGGGCATACTTCTATGCTTATTTGGTTTATCTCTTTAAGAAATAATGTTACCAATAAATAAAAGACAAATAAGGCTTACCTTACCACCATTTGATTCATCTACATATTTATCTTCTCCAGTACATCTTCTGGGCAAACTTTTTACTCTAATGGGTTACCCCAGTTAGTTTTGGATTGTATAGATATTTTCAATTTCGTCCATCACTGCAATCAAGTTGGAAATCATGTGAGCAAACTATTGTGCCATCAGTAATATGTTAAAACAAGCACACGTAGGCCTATGTCAGTATGTGTAAACAGCCTGATGGTGCTATTTAAGTATAAAATTATGACAAATTGGCCAAAATGTAGTAGGGCACATATCTGTTGAACAGGGGTGGGACTGTGAGCTGTTGTATTTAGAAAATTGGTTATGTAGACTGAAGATAATTAAAGAAAACTGTTATTGTTAAGTTGTCTAGGTTAGTAATTAACTAATATAGCTGCAATAGGCCTATGCCACCTAAAAAAAGCACAAAGAAGGGACCAAGCCCAAGCCAAGAGGATAAGTAACTAGTAAGACAGACCTACCCTACAAAGACTGATAAATGATTTTCAGCTTTTTAACTTACAAATAAAATCTATAAAAAAAAGGAAACGGGTAGACTTGCTACTCAATCCAGAGGGGCAGATTCTCTTATTCAGATAAGATTAAACTTACCCTCCAATCACGAAATATCATTTAACAAATCACAGTTGTAGGAGAGTAGGTTAGTCACTCAGTCAGGAATATTTTTAAAAGTTTTCATTTGGTCATATCACAATTTTTTTCTTTATTTTTCGTGTGCTAATTTATAATGATGCCGTCTATGAATTGATATTTTTGATTTTTGATAAACATAATCGCTATTATTCATTTTTTTGTTGTTTTGTGATCGAAGGCATCTTCTCATTATCCCCCTTGAATAGCAACAAAGACATGTCAAGGTGACAACTCTGCGGGAGATTAAAATAGCTACAAAAAGTTTTAACTCTTGGTTCTTGCTGTTCTTCACAACCAGGCAACATCTTCCCCACCCTTGTCTCCTTCAGAAATTGTGTTGGTCGATAAGGGGGCTGCAGGAGAAGATTGGAAACACACCTCTACATCTAGTGAAAACCTGTTACAGACTTTATAGGGAATCACACTCACAGTCGGATTCAACTACTAGTACTACTCCTCCATGCTATATCCACAGGGATATGTCTAAAAAAAAAGAGCTGCTAAGCCTAACTGGTAAAGGTTGCGTCATGACAACAATATAGGCCTACAATAATAATAGTAAAAATACTAATGTGAAAAGGAAAGTGACTGAAGTCACAAAGTTTCATGTCAATGTGAATGATAGGGAGAAAACAAAAGATAGCTTGCCAGGCAAGGTAACATACGCCCATTAACAGCTGCCAGAAACGATAAAATCGTTAGAGGCTTGATAATGAATTTTCAAATAATCTTAAAATCATCTATAAGTCAAGGCAAAAACCTGAAGCAGTTCATCAACTTATCATCAAATTCAAACATGAACAATGTCTCATCGCTGACACACAAGGGTAATAACTCGGAAACTGTTCATCCGATTATTACCAATTTCTAACCTAGCTGACCTGCAAGCCTAATTTGACAAGTTTTAATTAAGTCAATAACTACGAAACCCTTCACCTCAATGTTACCAATTACGAACTCGAGTGAGATCTCATCAATATATACATGCATACCTAGTTTCATCTAGGTTGGATAAAAACTGTAGCCTCTATCGCGCCTACAAAAAATGTGAACGGATGGACGGACCGACGGACAAGGGCAACGGCAATATACGTCCACATTTCCATGTGGGCGTATAAAAAAGGTGAGTCTGAAAGCATGGTTTATTTATTTCATACCTTGACTGCAATCTAAGCACTTGGCTACAGTTAGCCTACACACTTCTATGATACAAAAAAGGTGTCAATTGCAGTCAAGGGTTGAAACACTGTGATAGCGGGGGAGGGGCAGGGGGCATCTTACTCACTGCACGTTAGCCTGTTCCCATCATTCACATTGGCATCAAACTTTGTGACTTGGGAATGGGAAGACGCCTTCGATCACAGACAACAAAAAGTGGCCATTGAATAATAGCGATTATATTTATTAAAAATCAAAAAAATCAATTCATAGACGGCATTATTATAAACTTGCCCTGTGTACACGAATAATAAAGAAAGAAATTGTGATTTGACCAAATGCAAGCTTTTAAAAATATTCTTTTTTAGATGTAAAATGTTTTGATTCCCGAATTTGTGCACGCCCTTCGGCGCAAATTTAGTTTCGATTTTTTCTCTTTTCTGACCCAATTCGGACAGTTCGGACGGTTCGGGAATTCGGAATTTTAAAGCTGAACACGGTGACCACTTAGCCTCGCTGTGGAGTTAGTGGGCGGAGCTATGCATGCGTTTTGAGAAAGGAGTTGCTTCATGAAGTCTCTTGTTCTTGACCTAGCAATGACGTCTGCAAACTATGACGTCAGTGACCTTGAAACTAAGACTCAAGGACTATGTGAATTCTAAAGGGAGATAACCACAAAGTAAAATTAGGCTCCAGACAACCAGAATTTGCCCTAACATACACTTGTCTGAAAGTCAAATTCTCAAAATAATTGATAAAAATGAACACACAATAAGCCTACAATTAAATGCTTCAAACTACCCATAATTAACATGCGTAGGCCTAGGCCTACTAACTCTATAATATGTAAGAATACACACAAAACTATGTTTCAAAATATTGAAATACATGTAATACCATAGGCTACTATTGTTTTGAATTTCAGTTGATACTTTATTTGCATAAGTTGTGGTCTGAGGCTTTTGTAATGTGACCACGTGCTTGCTAGAGTTATTCGCCCTTGTTTCCGAGCCATTTTAAATGGGAACATTTTGAGAAACCTTTCCTGTTTTATTATGATTAACTTAATTTAGGGGCTTTGGACAAAACTCTTCAGGTACTTTTAAGATCAGCTTTATAACGGTCGTTTATATTATGCATACGTTCTTTTTGTATTTGTCTTAGAATATCGCGATGTAGAGCAACATATCGAGTCGAAAGTGCTTTTGATTGTTCTTCTACCCTTCTTTTCATTATTAATTGTAATTATATGGTTTTGCGTTTACTTGAATGTTTTGTTAGGTAACGGTCAGATTTGCTTAGCGTATTTTGTTTGTTGCATTCATTATTGTATTTTAATGTCGCCCGTAGCACGTGAATAGCATTACTAACTCCCCATTTGATAGGTTTACTGTATAAAGGGAGATAACTTCTGCTTGAACGGGCACCATTAAATGTAGTTATGTCCCATACAATATTTATTAGTAGCCTTAAGAAGTAAGTACATTTATTATCTCACGTAAAGGTTGAAGATTTGTACTTATGATTTTATTCTTTATACATTTCAGAATACATAGTTCGAATTAGTACATACATAAACTAATAAACTGTATTATTGGAAATTTGTCTTGACACCACCCCTTCCCTACCATAAATTTTCAGAAGAGTTTTCAACTGATCCAGTTGGACAACATTCTGTAGTAGAAGACATACATCAGGAGAGACCAAGTTTAATTTCTGGAGAAATTCTACTGCAGAAGAGAGGACATTTTTCATAACTATAGATTAATTTGGTAGAAAAAAATCATAATGGACAAAGGAGTGATAGAAGCTGTTGCCGACCTACCTACCCACTCAAAATCGTAAGGTTATTCAGCAAACAAGCGACCCAGCAGATTTTCGAGAGAGGAAGCAGAATAGGAAGATACTGAAGGGGAGAATAACTCGTGCTATAAATAGAATCACAGATTCTATTGAGAGTGGAAATATTAAAGCACGAAGAGTTCAGAAAGAATTGAATGATATCAAGCAAGACTGTATATTGGCTAGAGAATGTAATAACGCACTGTATGGATTAGTCGGTGAATCTGAAGAAGAAAGATTGGATCAATGGGACGATGATTTGATGACGACATTGTATGATATAGAAGAATATGTCGAAGATTATATAAAGGCACCACAACAGCAACAACAGAATCAGGACACAGTTACAGAGTCTTCAACGAATGGAAGGATAAATGGTACCGCTCCATCAACGAGTAATGAACACAGTGACGATATAGAAAGCTTATCAACTGCGGAATCTGGTTCAATACGTACACCAAGTGAAGTGCTACCATCATCTACCAATGCAATTACCAATACTCTCGTCATGCCATCTGACAATAATAATCATCGTATAGTAGCAGTTGATGATTGGATAGATAAGTTGGAAGAGTTTAAGGAAACCAGTTTATCCAATGAGTTTAAAGAGATGTCTGTAGCGGAAGCATTATTCAAATTAGAGGCTGCGAGAGATATACCTGCAGTACAGATACCAAAGTTCAACGGCGACGCTCTACTCTACGTTGACTTTATAGAGAAATTCAAATTAAATATTCATGACAAACAACATCTGAAGGATGACATGAGAATGACACAGTTGAAAATGCATCTGGAGGGAGAAGCTGCTCATCTACTGTCAGGAATGGGTAACCAATAAATTATGTACGCCACAGCACTGAAATCCATAAAGCAGGAATTTGGTCATAGAAGCAAAATATCTAGGAAATGGATCAATAAATTGACCAAAGGGAGTAAAATCACAATCATTGAAAGAAGTAAATTGAGAGACCTGTCAATGGACATCGTCAACTGTATAGCTACACTAAAATTGATAAGGTATGACGCTGATATTAATGTAACTTATAACATGAGAATGATAATGAAGAGATTGCCTGACAATTTGATTGATAAATGGAAGTTCTGTGCCATAAGTATTAGAGAAAAGGATGAGACTCCAAATATTGAACATATCAATAGCTTTATTAGAAGACATGTTAAGGCGATGTTCGATCCAGATTTCGGAGATATCCAGAAGTCAACGGCGACGTTCAATACGAAGGTACCGAAGTCTGTAAATTCTACACAAAGAAAGTTTGAGCAAAGACCATCTACATGTCCAGTTTGTGACGAGAACCATAGAATTTACGATTGTTCAACGTTCAAAGATCTTCCTTATGATGACAAACTCAACAAGATTAAAGAACTAAGGCTTTGTTTTAGTTGCTTGGCTAAAGGTCACATCACCAAAGACTGTCGAAGAAAGAGAGCCTGTGGCAAAAATGGCTGTGTTAGATTACACAACACACTCCTTCACACGGACCCACCAACAGCAAGCAGCGTTTCAACTCGGTATAAGGCTGGAATACTACCTGTACTACGTGCCAAGTTCCGGTCATCTAGTGGACGCTACGTCTGGGGAAATGTGTTAATAGACAGTGGAACAGGAATAACAATTATACGCAAGACAAGGCAAGAGCTTAATTTACAAGGAGCTAAAGATAGTAGAAGAGTGATATTTAAAATTTATGCTATGAATGGAGCCGAAGAATACTCAATAGAAGCCCACGAGCTAGATTCATGGTAATAGATGTCCCCAACTTGAATAGAAAATGACTTAAATCCTTTCCACATCTTACAGACATTGTTGATGATTTTAAACACAAAGGTGGACCTATAGAACTTGTTCTTGGAGTACATTATAGTCATATACACGCAGATGAAGAAATTCGGCAAGGCTTACCATACGAACCACTAGCAAGAAAAACTAAACTCGGATGGTACGTCATTGGTCCAGATAGCAGTTTGAGAGTAGCACAACTTTGTTCTGTTAGTTTTGTAGAGAAAAGAGACTTACAGAAATTTTATGAACTGGAAACTATTGGAATTCAAGCACCAGACTGTTCATGTCCAGTAAAAGCTCTATCATTAGAAGACAAACTAACCATGAAGGTTTTTGAAGAAACTTGCAAACGAGAAGGAGATAGATATTCCATAGGCCTACCATGAAAGACCCGTCATTATTACCAAATAATTATCTGGTTGCAGAAAGAAGATTAAAGTCATTAGAGAGAAGTCTACTAAAAGATCCAGTGAAAGCAACAAAGTCATCAACGACTATGAGCAAAACGGTTGGGCAACAGAAGTCAAACCAGAGGACGTATGTCGTGAAGATCAGCCTGTTTACTATTTGCCTCACCATGGTATATATAGACCAGAGAAACAGAGTACACCTCTAAGAGTCGTCTTTGATCCTGCAGTATTGGTAAATGGAACATCATTGAATTCATTCCTTTGTAAAGGACCTTGTCTCATTGGGAATTTACTAGAGGTTTTGATACGCTTTCGAGAGAACACAGTAGCAATCATGGGAGACATTTCCAAAATATTCATTCAAATTTTATTAGAAGAAAGAGACACCCAAGTCCATAGGTTTCTATGGAGAAATCTAAACCAAAATACAACACCAACTGTTTACAGACTTTTACGTAGCGATAAACCTTCAACAGCCATGGCAAGCTATGTCCTTTTACAGAGCGCTGCGGAGAATAAATATTTATATCCAGAAGCAGCCAAGATTCTAGAAAGAGATCGCTACATGGATGACCTAATAAGATCTTGTCACACAGCAGATGAAGCAATGGGTTGCATTAACCAGCTAGAAACTGTCCTCAACACCGGAAGTTTCAAAGTCAAGCAATGGTTCTGTTCAGATGAAAACGTGCGTCAGCGATTGAAGGGATTATCATTTATAGAAGATGTAAATATTAAAGCTTCAAATACCATTGAATTTAAATCTGACGGAGATACAAGTACCAAAACTTTAGGAATTGGATGGGATCCAGAGCCAGACATCATAAAATTTTCTGTTAAACATATAACAGTTGAGAACCTAACGAAGAGAACTGTCTTGTCAAAGGTAGCTATGTTCTACGACCCACTAGGATTAGCGTCAGGAGTAACCGTAAGAGCTAGGATTGCCCTACAAGATTTATGGAGATTAGCACTAGATTGGGACGACCGACTACCTAAAGAATTTCATCCAACATGGTACGACTTATTTTCTGATCTTAACAAATAGGCAGAAATTAGATTCCCATGATGTCTAAGACCTAAAGATGCTATTGGACAACCTGAATTACACATCTTTGGAGATGCAAGTGGTAAAGCTTATGGAGGAATGGCGTATCTACTATGGAATACACCAAGATCACCAGAAGTAAGATTAGTGTCAGCCAAAGCAAGAGTTGCCCCACTTCGTCAAACTACCATACCCAGATTGGAGTTGATGGCAGCATTGATTTCATCAAGACTGGCTAGAACCATCTATGATGCACTGGAAACCAAACCTTCAAGACTAGTATTATGGTCCGATTCTCAGGTGGTATTATTTTGGTTACGTTCTGAATCTGCAATCTTGAAGCCTTTTGTGGGATTACGTGTAGCAGAGATTCAATCTACATGGGGTTCTGATAAATTTAGATATGTATCCACTGGGCTTAATCCTGCTGATGATTTGAGCAGAGGAATAACTGTAGATCAACTTAAGGAGAGATGGGTGCATGGTCCCTCATTCCTACGATTACCAGAATACGAATGGCCTACAGACTTGCAAGAAAACTTAGAACCTGACGCAGAATTCAAACTACCCAAAATTGTTTGTCCTGTAATTAAAGTCAGTGAAGTTTTAGATGTTTCCAGATTTTCAAGCTATCCTAAACTGGTTAGAGTTCTTGCCTACTGCCATAGATTTATCAGTGCAACCAGGAAACTAAAAACCTATCCAAATCATGTATTGCAACCAGAAGAACTGGAACATTCCGAGTATCGATTACTTATGCTGGTGCAACGACCAATAACAGATTGGGAGGAGCGCTATCGAGATTTAGCCCCCTTCATCAAGGATAGCATCATCAGAGTTGGAGGTAGATTGAGAAAATCTTCATTGGAATATGACGAAATTCATCCTATTTTATTGTTACCAGAGAATGAAGTTACAAAGCTAATCGTAAGAGACTTTCATGCTAAAAATGGCCATTGCGGTGCAGAAAGGACACTTAGTGATATAAGACGTAAGTTCTGGATAATTAGAGGCAGAAACTGTGTGAAAGGCCTCATAAGACAATGCGTAATTTGCAGGAAACAGAGGCAACCAGCGCACACTACATTAATGGCTGATTTACCATCGGATAGACTCAGACCTTTACAGTAGCTGGTGTGAATTTGTTTGGCCCATTTAGCCTGAAGATTTCCAGAAATAAGACGATGAAAGCATGGGGTGTAATATTCACCTGCGCAACCGTTAGAGCGGTTCATTTAGACATAGTAGAAAGTTCGTCAACACCAGCTTTCTTGCAAGCTCTAAGAAGATTCGTCTCCAATCATGGATGGCCACAAGTTTTCATTTCCGACAATGGATCCAATTTCGTTGGAGCTGAGAAGGAATTGCGTCTACTCTACGAAAATGGTAAACGTCAAATCGCAGATTTCGCCATGTTACACAAAACCAAATGGAAGTTCAACATTCCTTTGAGTCCTCACCAAGGAGGAAAGCTTAATAAAGCAGACTAAGAAGGCTTTAAATGTTACAATAGGTGAACAGATCCTATCTTGGAGTGAGATGGCTACCATATTTGCTGAGGTCAAATGTTTGTTGAATAGTCGCCCAATTACATATTCATCAAGTGATCCTAATTACTATTCAGCTTTGACACCTAATCACTTTTTTATTGGAAGAGCTACCATTGAAGTACCTCAAGGTCCTTACAAAGAGACGAATAATCTACATAAGCGTTTTGAATTTGTGCAGATGTTAATAAATAAATTCTTTACAAAATTTGTTAAAGAATACTTTCCCACGCTGATGAAAAGATCTAAATGGCTTAGAAAAGAGAGACAATTAAAGATTGGTGATATAGTATTGATGACTGATACAAATATTCCACGAGGAAAATGGGAAATGTCCAGAGTCATCGAAGTTTATCCTGGAAGCGATGGAGTTATCCGTAATATTAAAGTGAAAACCAAAAATGGAGAGTATAGGCGTTCCATTCAGAGATACTGCCCTGTCCTTGAGTGCGAAGATTAGTTATAGTGATGTTTGTTGTAAATCATTTAGTGCAAAGATAAGACTTTGGTAACTTGTGTGACTGTGCACGCTTAAGAGACATTTAACATCACTTTATATAGTATTGACATTACTTCGTACACTGCTGTGGGTTGGGAGGATGTTTTGAATTTCAGTTGATACTTTATTTGCATAAGTTGTGGGCTGAGGCATTTGTAATGCGACCACGTGCTTGCTAGAGTTATTCGCCCTTGTTTCCGAGCACGCCATTTTAGATGAAAACATTTTGAGAAACCTTTCCTGTAGCTTTATAACGGTCGTTTATATTATGCATACGTTTTTGTATTTGTCTTAGAATATCGCGATGTAGAGCAACTTATCGAGTCGAAAGTGCGTTGCGTGTTCTCCTACCCTTCTTTTCATTATTAATTGTAATTATATAGTTTTGCGTTTACGTGAATGTTTTGTTAGGTAACGGTCAGATTTGCTTAGCGTATTTTGTTTGTTGCATTCATTATTGTATTTTAATGTCGCCCGTAGCACGTGAATAGCATTAGTAACTCCCCATTTAATCGGTTCCTTGTATAAAGGGAGATAACTACATTTAATGGTGCCCGTTCAAGCAGAAGTTATGTCCCATACAATATTTGTTAGTAGCCTTAAGAAAACTAAGGGAAGTAAGTACATTTATTATCTCACGTAAAGGTTGAAGAGTTGTACTTTTATTCTTTATACATTTCAGAATACATAGTTCGAATTAGTACATACATAAACTAATAAACTGTATTATTGGAAATTTGTCTTGACACCACCCCTTCCCTACCAACTATTAAATGACTAATAACTAACAAGCAATTTAAATATGAAACCTATTTGGAAGTCTGCTAAACCAAACGAATTCTATGCATCAGCTTCTAGGACAACAGAGATCTTATGAACAGGGCGTTGCAATTTAGTTGATTTTGCTTGCACATTTACAATCCGTACAAATCCTTTTTTTGTCATAAATTACACTTATAACTCTACCTAACGTATATGAACTTCGAATAGCATTATCTAATACAACTACTATGTCTCCTTCAGAAACATTTTTACGAGAAGTCCATTTTGCTTAGTCTGCAATAATGTTAAGTATTCTTTCGAAAATCTTTTCCACTTCCATCTTTTATTACTGAGATATTGTATTTGTCTCCATCGTCTATTGGCTTAATTATTATTCTTGCCAAAGGGCCCTGGGGGAACATTTTCACCATTGCGAAACAAAAGCAAATGATTTGAAGTTATGGGTTCAAGATCGTTTTTATTAGTTGATGAAATAGTTAATGGATGGTTGTTCAATACTGCCTCGACTTCGCACAGGGGAGTTGAGAGAGACTCGTCATCCAAAAGTACCAAAAGCATGGTATATAAAATCTTACGAGTGCTTCGGATGAGTCTCTCAAAAACCCCACCGAAATGCGAACCCACAGGAGGATTAAACTTCCAATAAATTCCATTCTGAAGCAGCTCATTCTTCATCTGTTCTTGATTCCATCTTCGGATGTCTTCTCTCATTTCTCTTTCAGTGTCAACCAAATTAGTTCGATTATCGGATCTGATAACCTTCACCGGACCTCTTCTAGCTATTAAACGTCTAATTGCGTTGATACAGGAATTTGTTGTAAGATGCCACCTCTAAATGTACAGCTGGACGGAAATATAACTCCGTACCTCTTCACGTACGTACGTCCTCTTTTGACATCGATGGGGCCAAAGAAATCCTTTTTGTTTGAAAATGGTTACAATCTGTGTCATACCTGCCACAGTGCCAGGTGCAGCATCGATATCATTATATTCGAGATAATCGGACAATTGTAAAAAACGTGATAAAGCGAGATCGCGACTTAGTTTCAGACCATCAAATCTGTCTAATTTTGTTATTCCAGATCTATCAATGGCCATGATTAAGCATAGGCCAATGAACAGAATTGACAGCGGATATCTAAGTAACAATTTCAGAAAAGGCATGGAAATAGTAAAATACAAATAAAAGAGTAATATCTTATGCATAGAAAAATTAAAAGAAAGCATTCACACACACAATCATACTGGATACATTACCACATGATGATAATAAACTGTCTTGAGTTGAATATCATAAAAGGTTCTTGAATATCATTAGAGTTCTTGAATATCATAACAGTTCTTGAAACTTTGGTTTGAAAGCTGGGGCTGATGAAACCATGAAACAATCTCTGCTGTTAGTTAAAACTAAAATGGTGCATAACAATAAATAGTCTACTGTAGCCTAGATCTAATGTAAGTTCTTGGGACAGATGAAATTCTGCAGCTTGCATACGCATGTACAGGAAACGCGTGGTGAGGCCAAGCTTTCTAGGCTCTTTTATTTCTACTAATTCTGCACGTACACAATACGATGAAACAAATTCTTAGTAGGCTTAATCAGTAGCCTCCAAAGTTTTTTTTTTTTTTTTATAAAAGTTCAAATCAACAGCAAAATTAAGGAGTTGAAAAATTGTTAGGAATGATTCTCTGGCTGATTTTCTATCACAGACCGTGTGACGAGTAGGTCATTAAATCGTTGAATATCACCTGAATTCTAGGTCATCAATCAAAATTGTTCTTCCAATTTTTTACACAGGAAAGGAAACGGCAATCTCCACCATGTTATGTTGGACTGTAGGGGTTTTGGGTCCAGGATAATCTGTCCTTAGTTCCTTTCCACAGTGAAAACAATATTCAAGATTCAGCCATGATTTGTATTCTCTAGGAAGTGACATCATAGATGTTACATATTCATAAGGTAAAATACAATCAACTAAAGGGAGGTAAATCCAATATTAGGATTAATAGTAATATTCAGACCAACTTAAAGGTAAATAATACTAATACAAATGAAGATCTAAAGATCTGAATGCGACAATAGTGTCCTTTCCTGGGGTATTGTGAATGTCCATCAACACAAGCTTTGACAAATTAGAGTCTTAGGAAGAATCATTTGATGTTTAGAGTCAAATGGCAGATTTTACCTTGATAATTTACCACCGACTCTCAAAGTCTCTTCCACTAACACAGGATCAAGCTTTAATAAGTAGCTGTTCTTCTTTAAATTGCTACCGGATTTTAAAGTCTTAATTTCTTCTTCGAAATGCTGATTCTTGACAAATTCTACTACAGTCAAGTAACCTAATTTCGTGGAAACCTAATATTCGTGGATTTCCGGAAAGGATTTATAATTTATATGAGCGACCGTGCGCGACCGTGCGCGACCTCCGCATTAGATTGTTTTGATAAACATGGGTTTTCTCTACAATATCAGCTAGTAGATTGAATCCAGTAGTTTTAAGAAAGGTAAAGTGTATTAACGTATACTTTGACAAATACAAAATGGCGGATTTCAGTTATTACCAAACATCACCATTTTTTATCGGCCGAATTTCCTTATAATCCCAAGCGGTAATCGGAATTCCAAGTGTTGTCTGCTAGAATATAGTCCAACGAATGAAGTCACGTGATCAACTAGCGGATTCCATGTCAGCAGAAAATTTCTATGAAACACAAAGTGGACCATATTCTTATGTTGTTTCAGTGACATTTTTTTTTAAATCGTGGTTCTTTGAAGGAATTGTCACTAGTTATAATGAATTGATATTTAAGATAAATACTAAGAGAAGTTAATTATACCACCCGGTATCTATACAACGTGTTTTTCTCAACTTATTTATAGATCAAACCTTGTACACGAAAATAGGTGATGCATTCTGCAGCCGTTGCCGAGTTGGTTGCTCATGAAATATGAGTCAAAGTGAAGGATTCATTAAGAAAATCGAAATAAACCAATTTTAATTATTTTGTAGAATATCTGAGGAAGCATTTAAGACATTACAAATTTTTTTCGTTTTTTTAACTTTGACGAAATTCGGTGTTGAATCCTTATATCCACGAAAATAGGTTACACCACTGTATCTTCTTCTCTACTTTCTGTAAAATGTCTCTGTTCATCTGAAGCTGGTAAACTCTTTCTTCTCTCTTCATCTGTAAATATCTAATGAATACAAACCAACCAATTGCTTTCTTCAGTTTGTGCCAGTTAGAATAAGGATTTATAACTGATTCTAATATTGTGATTGGTTTGTTTGCATTAGTTACCATTTGGGTGCATACAACTGTCTTCTTGACTTCAGCATTTTCCTGCGGAGTGTTGTATGAAGATGGTTCTGATTCTTTTAAGGAACTCTCACCCATCTGTTGACCTGCTCTGTGTCATTCATAGCGATACTTCTTGACGCGTCATCTGCTGGGTTGTTCTTGGTTCCTACGTACCTCCACTGCTCTACATCTGTGCCATCGCGGATTATTTCAATACGAATAGAAACAAAGGTATGGAAGCGAGTATTAACGTTGCGAATGTATCTTAATACAGTCATACTATCTGTCCAGTAAAATGTCTCATCGACCTTAAGCTCAAGTTCCCGTAGGACCACATGGCCGCAGTGAGTTCCATACGAGGTATCGTTATTCGCTTTAACGGCGCTACTCTGGACTTAGCTATTATTGGACTACAGTTAACGTTACGGGAAGAGCCTACGAGTCTAATATAAATAAGAACACCATATGCAATGTCACTTGCGTTACTGAAACTATGAATTTGGCACAAAACGATGTCTTTCAAATTGTCTCCTCTGTAGCACCTAGACACAGATAAATTGTTCTAATTGCGATATATTCTTCAACCATTAGTTCCACTTTGTAGATTCAGCGTAGTCCTCTCTGACACATACTTTGAATGATGAGTTTAGCTGATAAGATGAAGGGAGAAGCTAGACCTAAAGGATCGTATAGATATGCTACTGTGGACAGTATACCACGTCTAGTTTCTGATTGAGGTTTCAAGTTTATTATATCTTTTTCGACCGACCAACATATTCCTAATGCCCGTTCGATTGATAATGCATCAGTGTCTTAAGTTTAAGTTTTTTACACCTTTAGCCTTTTCAGTGTCTGGTAGTGTGTTTAAAACGCGACGACTACTACTGATCCATTTTGAGACGCGGAAGCCACCTTTCTGGCATAACGTACAAAGTTCTTTAACGAAATTTACTAGTTCGAGTTCACTGTCCATTGACTTTAAACAGTCATCTACGTAAAAGTTTTTGAACACAGTCTGAACCATGTTACTATCAAAAAGTTCTTCATTGTCTATGGCAGTTTTTCTCAGCGCGGCATTTGCACAAGAAAGAGACGACGTCGCACCAAAACGATCAACGACCATTCTGTATGTAGAGGGTTTCTCGTTTATGTTTCCGTCTGGCCATCATAAGAATCTAAGAAAGTCTCTATCTTCTTTTGGTACAAAAACATGCTATGTATTTCACCCATTACTCCATTATCGAAACTATAGTTTCAAGACTTTCATACTATGCCTTTTTTCGCTATGACAATGCTGTTTTTTCAAAATATAACCCTCACCGCTCACGGTTTTAGATTCCGCAATATTTATTTTCCTGTGGATCCATCCGATGTCTGAACTGTTATTTTTTCTAAACAGTTGCAGGTTCGTCTATTTTTGTCTCCAACTGCCGACGGTAGTGTGGAGCCAATTAAATCCAGCTTCTACCTTGTCCACCAGGACATTCTGGGACTTATCTGGAACCAGTGGGGGTTGAGCCACTGTCGAATTATAGGGCACATCTAATACGAGAATTCTAAACTTCTCCTCGCTTGATAATTCTTATTTACTATTCAGAAGATTTTCACTTTTAGACATTTCAGTTGCCATTTTTTCTAGCACGTTATAGCACGCAGTAAAGGGACATAACTCTTGCAAGTTATGACCAAGTTTTTATTCATTGAACTTGTCTTGTTTCGTTTTATGGATTTATGTATTTTGTATTACGGTTCTGATCGTTTGTACTTGGTATTTATTTTATTCCAGATTTCACCATAAAACTATAGTTTTGATTTACCTAACAGGTCCAAATTATAAATAAAACAGATTAAAATATTCCGTTTCATGTGAAACAAATGGCTATTCCGGATTTTATCAGAAACCTTTAGTTTCGTTTAGCAAGTCGTTTTTGTGCAGTTGGGCACGATGCGGCAAGTTGGACAATGCGGCAAAACGAACCCACCGCCATTCGAGAGCCTTATCCAGAAACTTGTTTGCTATTCTTTCGTTGTCTCCATATCTGTTCTCCAGTTCTTCTAATATCTTCTTGAAGGCTATCTGTGAATCTATGTAGCTTAAACTTCTAATGATGTCATTAGGTTCTCCTCTTATATACAGGTCTAAATAATTCAAACGTTTTTCATCTGATGAGGTATTGCTTATGATCAAAGAGTTGAATTGTCTCAAGAACCTTCGACAGCTCGTCATTAAATGTTTCTACAACACATGCTGGTTTCTCCAAATTCATCAAAATGGACTCGATCAATGTTTCAGTTGCTTTAGATTGTGACTGGCTTGAAATGGATTAGTGTGATAAAGGTTGACTAAGGAATGGATTGCTCATCTCTGGGCTACGGTCAACAGTCTCCAAGGCATACTTGAGTTTTCAAGTTTTCTTCGATTGTCATGTTTCGATCATTTATGATTAGAGAATTTTGATCGGGATTGTTCTTATTTTCTTCGTCCATGAGAAATTTTCGTTGTTGCTTGACAATATCCATTTGAACTTGCAGATCAAGCTGCTCTTCTTGAAACTTTATTTCCATTTCTGCTTCTTTCAATTTTCTTTTTTCAGCTTCGAGCCTCTGAAATGTATTTAAAGCCTTGACCTTTGCTACCAGTTCAATTCATTTATATTTAAGAAAATTTATGGAATGTTGTGATTCATTAGACATACCATGACTGTCTATTGATCCTGACTTTATACTGTATGTGTCAGGTACTTGGAAGGAGTGTCTTCTATCGTGTCGTCTTTGGTTACCATGTTTAGAAGATGCCT